ACAGAGCCCACATTCAAACAGTACCGTGATGAGATCATACTAACAAACACGGATGCATTAAGATGGATTGATAATATAGATAAAGAGAAATGGACACGGGCATACGACAATGGGGTGCGATGGGGCCACAAGACAACTAACCTCGTTGAATCAATGAATTTTGTTTTCAATGGAATCCAAAACCTACCGATAAATGCCTTGGTAAAGGCAACATATTTTAGGCTAAGCGCACTCTTTGATAACAGACGTACGGAGTGGGGTTCAGTATTACAATCTGGCCAGCTGTACAGTAATAGTTCAACAACATTCATGAAAGACGAAGCTGCCAAAGCCAACACACATGTGGTCACAATCTTTGACCGTAATAAAGGTTGGTTAAGTGTTGCCGAGTCAATTGATCACAACGAAGGAAGGCCTAGGGGATTTACCAGGTTGAACTGGATATGAGCTAGTGTGATTGTGGGAAGTTTCAGGCATTTCGTATGCCTTGCTCTCATGTTATAACAACATGTTCGAAGGCGCGCCAGGACCCAACCAACCTTCTTTCTACAGTTCACCAAGTGATAAGTCTATGCAATGTCTACACATGTAGCTTTCAGGTGGTGGCAAAGGAGGACTATTGGCCTCAATACGAAGGCGAAATTTTCTGGCATAATGGTTTGATGCGAAGAAAGAAAAAGGGTTGCACTAACAGCACACGCATTCGAACGAAGATGGATACCGCAAACAAGATAGTAAGATTATGTAGTTCGTGTCGACAACTAGGACACAGTCGTACAAAGTGTCATAACGTAGGATCAAGCACAAGATCATAGTGTCTAATGTAACCGTGTCCCTTTAAATCAATAGCAAATTTCATTTCATTTAAAGCATACTTAATCGATTACAATTAGCAAGCAACATAAATTAAACAAACACAACTTAATATCACAACAACATTCCGAAAATAACAACAACAACAAACCGACATAAAACAGAACAATGCATCAAGGTGTCTACGATATCACAACCATCAATGTTATCTTCTTTGGTGTTAACATCATCACAATTCACAAGGACACCAACATCATTTTCCACTTTTCTCCATTCACGAGTAACTCCGTTTCTCCCTGACTCCTCGACCAACCTCTCAATTTTCCTAATCTTTTCACCTGCAGCAATATCTCCTTCTAGCCAGCAGTTCAGTTCCCTATGCAAATGCTCCACGTCTGCGTATTCCACAGTAGCACATTCATTGGAGGCTTTGTTGCTGAAAAATAAACTAGGGTATTTCTTTTCATTAGAGGAAATGTTGAAAACGGTTCCTCCGATAATGACGACGACGACGAAGAACGTTGATTTTAGAAATGCAGACATTCTAGACTCCACTCCACTCAAAATTATTAAGACTTTAATCTTTTGGTATAAATTGTTGTGAAAAAATATATGCTGTGCAGTCGTATTTATAGAAAAATAAAATAGTACGGACGCCATATGATATGCCTTAAATACCCTTACAAAATTTATATACTTTTTTTCAACAAATACCAAAATTTTACAACATAAAATTTAAAAATATCAAAATTCAAAGGTGACCAACAATTATATATTTTAAAATAATATATATAATTATATACGAATTATGTTTTAAAAGTATATGTTAATCATATATTTATTATGTTTTAAAATTTAAATCTATTAATATCTATTATGTTTAAAAATCATATACAAATATATTTATTATTTTATAAAATTATATCAAAAAATTTAAAAAATATATTTAAACGAATTTTTATTATTTTATAAAACTAAAACATTAAACAAAACAAAATTAAAAAAAAAAAAAAACGAAAAGAAAATGGGCTGATTTGCCAATCCATTTGGCGAATCCTTTAAAATAGGGGAAGTTTTACCTCATACCCCTACACTTGTACCTATACCCCTACATTAAAAAATTTTGGACCAAAATATCCTCGTATAAAAATTTATTATTTTTTAATTTTTTTATATTTTTTTATTTGTTTACCGGAAGACTTTTTGGAAGTCTTCCGGTTCACATTTTTTTTGTATGTTTACCGGAAGACTTTTTGGAAGTCTTCCGGTTCATATTTTTTCGTTTGTTTACCGGAAGACTTTTTGGAAGTCTTCCGGTTCATATTTTTTTTTAATTTGTAATTAATATTTAAGATTTATTAACTTTATATAAAGACCAATTTAGTGAATTTTTAAATATTATACTTAAAATATAAAAATTCTATAAATAGAGAATTATTTTCAGAATATTTTCTATTTGCTATAATTATTAGAATACAATGAGATTAAAATCATTTATTTTAAATGATCATAATAATAAAATTTTCTCAAATATCTTATTAATCTTAAACATTAATAAATAAAATAAATTTAAATATAGGATATAAGTTTACATTATTCAATATATTTAATCGAATGAAAACATATGTGATAAATAAATAATGTATTTTAACTTAAAATGATCACAATAAGTTAACTTGCAAAATAATATAAGTAATAAATTAATAATGTATTTTATTTAAAATAATCACAATAATAGAATACGCAAATAATGTGTTTATTTATAGGACTGATATAGTTTTATTGATTATTTAATTTTAAATACTACTATGAATATAGTATTTAATCTATACTTTAGAACTCACATAATTATAAATATAAAAAATATTGTTTTATTACCCATATTTTTATTTAATTAAAAAAAATAAGAATATAAATTTATTATTTGTTTTTCATTTTCGTTTGATCTTTTTTTTATTTATAAATTTTTTGCATATTCTATATTGTGCTTACTTTAAATAAAATATATTATTTATTTTATTAAAAATATTAAATAAAGTGAAATAATAAAAAAGATCAAACAAAAATGAAAAATAAATAATAAATTTATATTCTTATTTTTTTTTAATTAAATAAAAATATGGGTAATAAAACAATATTTTTTATATTTATAATTATGTGAGTTCTAAAGTATAGATTAAATACTATATTCATAGTAGTATTCAAAATTAAATAATCAATAAAACTATATCAGTCCTATAAATAAAACACATTATTTGCGTATTTTATTATTGTGATTATTTTAAATAAAATACATTATTAATTTATTACTTATATTATTTTGCAAGTTAACTTATTGTGATCATTTTAAGTTAAAATACATTATTTATTTATCACATATGTTTTCATTTGATTAAATATATTGAATAATGTAAACTTATATCTTATATTTAAATTTATTTTATTTATTAATGTTTAAGATTAATAAGATATTTGAGAAATTTCTACTATTATGATCATTTAAAATAAATGATTTTAATCCTAGTATTCTAATAATTATAGTAAATAGAAAATATTCTGAAAATGATTCTCTATTTATAGAATTTTTATATTTTAAGTATAATATTCAAAAATTTACTAAATTGGTCTTTATATAAAATTAATAAATCTTAAATATTAATTACAAATTAAAAAAAAAAACATGAACCGGAAGACTTCCAAAAAGTCTTCCGGTAAACAAACGAAAAAATATGTACCGGAAGACTTCCAAAAAGTCTTCCGGTAAACATACTAAAAAAATGTGAACCGGAAGACTTCCAAAAAGTCTTCCGGTAAACAAATAAAAAAATATAAAAAAAATTAAAAAATAATAAATTTTTATACGAGGATATTTTGGTCCAAAATTTTTTAATGTGGGGGTATAGGTATAAGTGCAGGGGTATGGGGTAAAACTTCCTGAGTCTAATGCCTAATACATTCGTCATATGGGTTGGCGAAATCATTTCCTATTTTAGGAAGTTTTACCTCATACCCCTACACTTGTACTTATACCCCTACATTAAAAATTTTTGGACCAAAATATCCTCGTATAAAAATTTATTATTTTTTAATTTTTTTATATTTTTTTATTTGTTTACCGGAAGACTTTTTGGAAGTCTTCCGGTTCACATTTTTTTTTCGTATGTTTACCGGAAGACTTTTTGGAAGTCTTCCGGTTCATATTTTTTCGTTTGTTTACCGGAAGACTTTTTGGAAGTCTTCCGGTTCATATTTTTTTTTAATTTGTAATTAATATTTAAGATTTATTAACTTTATATAAAGACCAATTTAGTTAATTTTTGAATATTATACTTAAAATATAAAAATTCTATAAATAGAGAATTATTTTCAGAATATGATATGCCTTAAATACCCTTACAAAATTTATATATATTTTTTCAACAAATACCAAAATTATACAACATAACATTTAAAAATATTAAAATTCAAAGGTGACCTACAATTATATATTTTAAAAATCTATATTTAATTATATACAAATTATGTTTTAAAATTATATGTTAATCATATATTTATTATGTTTTAAAATTTAAACCTATTAATATTTATTATGTTTAAAAATATATACAAAAATATTTATTATTTTATAAAACTATATCAAAAGATTTAAAAATTATATTTAAACAAATTTTTATTATTTTATAAAACTAAAACATTAAACAAAACAAAATTAAAACCAAAAAGAAAAAAATAAAAAAAATAAAATAAACTGATCCGCCAATCCATTTAACGAATTCTTTAAAATAGAAAATGATTTCACCAGCCCATATGACAAAAACATTAGGCATTGGACTCGATTACCATTTCGTTTGGCAATCCAAAATTAAATTATAGTCATTTGAAAAATAATTTCTAACACTTATTTTATTTGATATTTTATTTAAATACTTTGGTTATTCTAAAAAAAGTCGATGAAATTATGTTTGCAAAATTAATATTTAACATTCAATAAAAAAATTTAAATTGGCTAATAAAAATGCTCTTACCATACTAACATGTAACCTTTATAATTCTAAAAACTAAAGTAAACTTTTAAAATAAAGGGAACCATTAAAATATTGAAACAACAGTATTTCTTCCCTACCCCCAATAATCATCTTCTCCATTTCCAACTTCCTGTACAAAAATAATCACCACATTACCCATTCATGGCAGACTGGTCTCAACTCCCTAAGGACCTCCTCCACCTCATCTCCGAAAAACTCAACTCCCAATTCTACCAACTCCGCTTCCGCTCCGTCTGTTCGTCATGGCGCTCCTCCACCCCCCTAAACCACCATCACCACCTCAATCTCCCTCCCAAATTCCCAAATCCCTCCAACAACGATTCCGATGATCCCACCTTCCCTCTCTCCAAACGAACCCTCTTCCTCATCTCCCCACCCCCAAATCAACAAACCCTACATCCATGGTTAATCAAAATCGGTCCTGACTCACGTGACCAATCTCACCTCTGGCATCCTCTCTCACGTGACAAACATTTCCCTCTCCATTTCCCTAACTCCATCGATTTCAACCACCTCCCTGTCACCGATCTCGGTTGCGAGTTCGTCATCGGTAACTTCCCTTCCCAATCTCCCTCTCTTCCTTTCCACAACAACTCACTCTACATGGAGAAGGTTGTTGTATTTGACGCTGACGCCGACACGTGGCAAATCGGGAACGGGAAGGCAAAAGCAAAAGCAAATCGGTGTTCGGTTCTTCTCACCATTCACATTTCTGGAAAACTCGCTGTATTCCGATGCGGCGATGAACAGTGTGATGAGCAGTGGACGATAATTCCTGATATGCTGACGCCTTATGATGATGTTTGTGTTTTCAACGGCCGGCCGGTTGCAGTTGATTGTACCGGTCGGGCTGTTGTTGTGGGAGCGGATTTGAGTGTGGAGTTGGTGGCGGAGCCAGTGTATGGTGGAGATAAGAAATTCTTGGTAGAGAGTGAAGGTGAATTGCTGCTAGTTGATAAATATTTGTCTTGTCTTGTGAATAGTTTGAGGAATGACGCTGACGGTGATGATTATGGTGATGGTGATGGTTATGAGATTGGACATGGTTATGCTGATGGTGAGTTTTGTGAGATTGGAAGGGAGAGGGCTGTGAGGTTTCATGTGTTTAGGCTTGATGAGAAGGAGAAGAAGTGGGTGGAGGTGAAGAGTTTGGAGGATAGGGTTTTGTTTTTGGGGGAAGATTGTGCTTTTTCTGCTTCGGCTTTCGATTTGAGGATTGGTTATGGGAATTGTGTGATATTTAGGGATGATGTTTATAGTGATTCTCAATCGAGTGAGCTCGGGGTTGGTGTTTTTCACTTGGGTCACTTTCGGATTGCGCCGTTGTCTTGTTTTCCTTGTTATTCTATGTTTTTCTGGCCTCCTCCAGAATGGGTCGGGTTGCGTTGACAACGACGAAGCACGTGTCTTGGATCGAAAGGTTTCGAGTTTGAAGCCGCTGAATTGTGCTGGAAGTAATCAACAGTTATTGGTTAGTACTTTGCAGATTCAATTCTACATAACACCAAATGATATTATCATTACTATTTTCATGTTAATGTTGACATCTGATTTGTTTTGTTGATAGGTTGGATTAGTTTTTCAATAAGTATTTGTAGAAAAATAGTTGCTGAAATGTTGTTACAATGAATGATTCTGGGTCCTTGTATAGATTGTAATTGTTTTCTGCACTTCAACTTTATCAAATGATATCTTATAGTCTTATCTAACTTGTTTATAAGCATGGAAATAAGCATGGAAAAGAATCATGCATTTACTTTTATATTGATTTTATTTTGTTGTTCCTTGTGAAATGAGTTTGATTTATTATAAATAGAGAAAGTAGTATTGAGGTATTGCTAGGAACATTGAATATGGATCAAAAGCAGCTCAATGGAATCATTCTGTATACCCCCTTGCATTGAGATCATTATTGTAAACTTATAAAGCACGAACACTCCGAACACGGCCCCGATAGAAAGAAAAACATCTTATATTCTTGTTCTCATAAATCTTGTAATCAAGTGCGAAAAAATAAAATAAAAAGCACAACATTTCTATAACTGAATCATGATCGAACTTCGAACACATACACGAAGTGAGAGATGAATGGATGATTATTTCAGTGGAGCAAACAAAATATTATCTTTTTGAAAGAGGTAATAAGAAGAGGGATTTGGAAAGAAATTATTAATGATATATTTTTTTCTATTATATCCAAAGTATTTATATCATATTATTTTCTTTCAATTTTTAAAGTCTTTTAAGTTTATCTTTCTTATACATTTAGCATTTAATGAAGGACAATTTGTAAAATCTTACATAATTTTGTTTTTTATATCATATTTTTTAATACATGTGAAAAGTATTAATAAAACATGAATGATGATTTTCAAAAGTTACGATACCACACATTCAGAGAATTGGAAACTATTAGATTAAGATCATACATAGCATTTAACATTTAATGAAGGACAATTTGTAAAATCTTATGTAATTTTTTTTATAGTATATTATTTAATATATGTGAAAAGTATATTAATAAACCATGAATGATGATTTCCAAAAGTTACGATACCACACATTCAGAGAATTGGAAACTATTAGATTAAGATCATACATAGGGCCTACCCCAATCCATTACTTTAGTGACTCGCATTTGAGGAAGGAATGAATTCATTTATCGATGATACAGTGAGGGACGACCGACTCGACAGCCGTCGAATCATGATGAAGATCAGATAGTAGCACATGTGCCTATTCCATCGCATCCACCATTTTCGGGAGGACCATCTGATACGTCTATTTTAGTGAGGTATCAGAACCATGTTGCTCGACATTTGTGGGATGGACAAGTAAGTTTGTCTATGACATTTTAGCTTGAATCAAATTTAATGTTAATTATTTATATATTATAACATATATTATGATTTATTTTCAAGAGAGTTCTGAAGAAAGAGTTGAAGGTTGTTGCACATGGTAGCAAGTTGATTAGATGGGTTCCATATATTCTCCCACCAGTGATTGAGCGATTGTTATCTGATTCTGGTCTATCCTTTCTACAGAGAACCAGTTTATCGAGGATAGATCATAATTTAGTATCTGCATTTGTGGAGAGATGTCATCCAGAAACATTGTCATTTCATATGCCATTTGGCGAGATGACTATTATTTTGGACGATGTTTCTTGTTTACTTCATATACCGTGTAAGGGGAGTTGTGTAACCCTACAGAAGAGGTTTACTGATTCAGATGCAATTACTCAGGCTATTGATCTTCTGGGTGTTTCGTTGGAGGACGCTATTGAAGAGGTGTTTCGTTGGAGGACGCTATTGAAGAGGTTTGTGGTTGCAGAGGTCCTTATTATAGCTTGGATTGGTTGAAGCAGCAATTTATCTGTCAGTGAATTGCGAACAGATTTGACTTTGCAGCTAGAGCCTACATGTTGTTAGTTGGCTGCACCATTTTTGTCGATAAGACCTTTACACTTGTAGAGGCAAAGTATTTACCACTATTTCAGGACTTGTCTAGATGTGGTAGATACTCTTTGAAGGGAGTTGCACTTGTCACACTTTATAGATATCTAGGAGTTGCTTCCTTTTACAGTTCCAAGAAGCTCGAGGGATTTGCCTCTTTGCTACAGGTACAAATGATTTATTTTAATTTCATTTAGACGTATATTAGCTTATTTATAATACTTTTAATTGATAATATTCATTTTGTGTAACAGTGTTGGATTCATGAGTATTTTCCTACTGTTGGCAAGAGAGGATTTTCTAAGATTGCAGGTATCGGTATTCCACTTCCTAGGGCGATGAAGTGGATGTACAAGCGAGGCGCGCAAAAGGTTGATGGGATCAGGCCTATATTGGATGGATTGACATCTGCCGGTGTCATTTGGCGACATTTTGAAGATCACAGACATCATCGGTCATTTGATGATATGTGCTTGTACAAGGGTGGCCTGAAATGGTATGGTACTGTTGTTCTATATTTATCTGACAGATATTTGCGCTAGTTTGGATACAGGCAGTACATACCACCTTCGCCTCCTGATGTTGACATACATGATGTGGATATTGAGTGAGTTACGTATCATGTGAGCGTGATGGAAGTGATCCGTCTAGCCGAGTTTGCAGATACTCCATATGATGTGGTGTCCGATTACTTGGATTGGTACTACAAGGTGTCACATCCTCGTTTGGTACCACCACCTTAAGGGAAGGTTAGATAGGACCCAGTTGGTGAGGTCAGACAAGCTCTGGTTCCTGTCTATGATGCAGGACCATCAAATCCTAGGTTGTTACATATTTCACATGAGCTTAGTCGCTATCTAAAGCGTCACGAGGTGGAAGAGGATGAGGATAATTTTGCTAAGGTCTTTCGAGTACTTCGTATAGCTCAAGGTGGAGCAGTACCTCAGGGTGGACCGATACGTTATGTTAGTGATGATGATTGATGTATTATTTACTATTCAGACTTATGTTGTATTTAGGGCTGGAAATGAGTCGAGTCGAGTCGAACTCACCTCAGCTCGGCTCGACTCGTTAAGAATTGTTCGAATTCGAGTTCGAGTTCGAGTTTGACACGAACTTTTTTTTAAGCTCAAACTCGACTCGTTATAAGTTCACGAACAGTTCGGTTCGACTCGTTAGGTTCATCTCATTAGGTTCAGCTCACATGGTTCACGAACTTAAAAACTATTTTTTTAAATATATATATTTTTTTAGTATATTTGACATTTTAAATAAATATATATATTTTAAATAAAATATTAAAATAAAATAAAAGTTATCATATTGAAATTTAACTTTATCTTCGAAATCTACTAATTCAAAACCTACATAACTTTCAAGAGATACATTTGAGAGTCTAATTCAAAAACTACTAAATTGAAGATTAAATTTGTCTAAGATTTGAAATAAATATTTAAACCTAATCTTAAAGACAGTATAATTCTTTTCATATGTAATCGAGTTGACTCATGAACCTAACGAGTCGAACTATGTATAGTTCAAGTTCAGCTCATTTAGTTAACGAACTTAATTTTTCGCTCATACTCAACTCATTTGGTTCATGAACCTAGTTCAACGATTTAATTGTCGAGTCGAATTCCGAACTATCTTCGAGTTGGTTTGGTTCATTGCCAGCCCTAGTTGTATTATTCAGACTTATGTAGTATTTCTCAGATGTATGTTGTATTCTTCAGAGTTATATAATATTATTCAAACTTATATAATATTATTTATGTAGTATAATCCCAGACATACCACAAATTAAATATAACACGAATCAAATGTCAAAACAAACCAAAATATAAATATCACATTCCAACTATAATCTAGCATATTTTGACACCAAAGACATAAGTTGCTGCCAATGTTGTAACCGTCCAGCAAATGTCATCCAAGAAGTTGCATCTGATGTGCGATACTTCTTCCAATTCAACGTGACTGGTGGCAAGGGAAATCCTTCGTTCATTTTTACTCGTTAAGAAAAATTAGTAAGTAAGACATAAACGAAAGATAATTAATTAACATAACAAACATGAATGTTTACCTAGACCCAATGATTTTGGTTTACAAAACCAATGCAGTAAATGAACACATTAGGTGAATGTGAAGTCGTCATAGGAAAGAAAGTCAAACTAGGATAACCCAAAGAGACTAGAATGACATTATACCGATTTGCTATCACATAACCCATATCTAGTAATGCCATCCATTTATCTAACTGCTGAGTACCTAAAGACAATATTATCAAGGAGTCTCTCACTTTTGATAAGTGACTTCCAAATAAATTCTCATATAGACTAATTCTGGAACCTCTAATTTCATTATCTAAATCGCGACGAACCATTGACCAACCATCCTCACCATATCCATGCAATGATGCAATCGCCCTAACCCACAGTTTCCGTCACTCTTAACATCAACAATATCATCAATAAATGGTCTGATATGCTCTGGAAATTGTACAATGTATCTATTAGGTGGTTTCTTCCTTGACGTTTGGGATAACTGTGAACATGATCTCTTTGAAGATTTTTGAGAACTATTGTGTGCTTGATCAACATACTCATGATATGAAGGATCACGATAAACATCACATCTCACAGGTTTCTTCCATTTTCTCTTCACTCCTCCTTTGGTCTTTATTTTTTCAGGCAGTGGTATCATCTTTGTTGTAGTGAGGTAAGCAATTTCACACGCCCTACTTTTTAGTGCTCTCTTTCTTGCCACATCTAATGACTTGAACCTTTTTCACAATGCATCAATTGCATTGGTCATGTCCACCTCTGCTCCATCCTCTGTATCTACCTCTTGTTCACCTTCCATGCTGAGCCTCCTCCACTGTATATGAATAACATCAATTGGAATTGGTTCACCACTCAATGTGTATCTTCCTAA